TGTTAAGGACAGCAAATGGGTCGTATACGCCGGGGAGGCTATTGCTGAGAATGAAATGCATACGGAGGTAATTGTTATTTGTGGTCCCACACGCCGCGGAGAAAGAGTGTAAATGACTGAGGCTCTCATACGTCATCGTTACAAGAATTGAGACAGAATGAGTGACAAGCGATTTCAGTGCTAATTGGTAGTGAGTAGATAAGAGGATGTGCGTAGAGTATCGTGAGGTGCTGCTGTGGTCACGTTGCATTCTGCAAGAGTCATTCTAGCAAGTGGCGATTATGTTGCAAGAGGATGCCTTTAACTGAAAGGCGCAGGTCGTCATTGATGTGTGAGATTGTGCTGTGAGTATGTGTGTGGTGTGTTGGCTTTTCTGTTTGTTTTCCATTTCAGCTCTGTCCGTGTGACCCAGGTTCTCGCAATGGCATCCAAGTCAGCGTGTATTGGTCGTGATGGGAAAAAAGGATGGATCCGTATTTTATCGGGGAGTGTCAATGTAGTTGAAGATTGAACGATCAATTCATGGTTGTTTGCTCAAAACCAACTTCCCCAGTTTTCGCGGAGGCATCAATACGCCAGTCATCGTCTCATCGATCGCTGTTCGGAAAGTACTTACAAAACCGTCAGAAGTAATATCGTGATTTATTATTGTCATATTTGTATATAGACCTTAGTTATTATGCTGGTTATATTTTGGTGTTAGAATAAAGAATTCTCGATTCGCCAATCGGTATTTTGGTTTTTTCGTCCGTTAGTACTAAGCGTTTCTGAAAGGCTACGAGCGACAGCGAGAGGCCTGGAGTAGCAAGACCTGGGTATTAACGGTTTTGAGACGTGATTTACACTTACCATTACCACAATGTAAACTCGTGCCGCTGTTATACTTTTATTCGCCTGCCAAATCCAACAATCTAAACGCAGCTTTCTTATCTTTACCATTTGGCCAACATGACAACGAAAAAATTACCCCATGCTGATGAATAATGATTAGGTTTTTGTGTACAAGCTCAGAATTTATAAATTGTGGTTTAATAATACTTTGGAAAGATACCAGCATTAAGTGATGAAACGTCAATAAAAACAACATGAAATCCCGAAACCAAACAAATCCCTTAAAACCATCACTTGAAAAACAATGACTTGCTCACTGGAAACTGGCCCCATTCAGGTAGGTAGTTACCTCGGTTCCAGTGGGAAGATATGGTGGTGGTCACTAAGGTGAATCACCCCATTCTTCAGGAACAGCAATATGCAATTTGAAGGCTGGGGTTTTTTCTGATTTTTATGACGGCTTAGATCTTTATCTTAAAAAAGACAATAATGAACATTTTGAAAGATCATGCTTCTATTTTTAAATATATACCATTCGCTCAGCCTATTGTTGAGATGCGACCACGTGAGCTCTGCACAGATTTATTATGGGGCATCTCATAAATTAACTGGCTATCCATCGTCAGATCTTTAAATACCACTTCACAATATCTTGTCTCACTTATTTTCTAATAACGTCTTTACTTGATTCTCATTATATTCCATTAAACCTAACATTTTTAGCTCTTTATGAATTCGATTCGACTTATCCTATTCCTATTCTCTGGAGGGTACGGTTGTGCACCAAATAGACAAAAAGGCATGAAATAAAAACAACTGGCTTGAAAATAATTGTATTAAAGCCAAGAGTGGACATCATGTTAGTAAGACATATATGGGTAGCATTATACATTGCAAATGAACGTTGTCGGCCTAAGGATTAATTACTTCCCCATTCTGTTTTCTATATAAATGTGTTTAATAATGATATATTTCACTCACTTAATCTATTACACTTTAATGTTTCACCTTAGCACTTTAACTTTTCTAAAACAGGTTCCAATCCCTAGTAAACGTTGTACTTACCTCAATATTGGTTGGTTATCGTATGCCTACAACCACGGGATGAAAACGAAACGAAGTCAGTTTTCCGCTCAACCTGGAGGACAACTGTACAATTCAATAACTATACGGCCTGGTTCAGACAATGAGTGTAATTATATATATATATCAAATACTTATCCTTTGGAACATTATTCACTTATAGGTAATCTACAATTTAAGGTTTTATCATACTTGATCGTGCCTGTAAAATTGGCATTGATTTTCATGTAAATGTATACGTTTATATGAATATATACACTACTATTATTATAAAGGAACGCTTGTGGTAGTCTCGCAACCAAAATGCCTTTGCTTATCCAGGTCACCAAAATTAAAATTAAGCTGACTTACTAAGGTTCTAATCTCACGCAAATCTGGATGAATCAATATCTCTTTGTGCGAATTGTGCGATATGTCGTCAATGAACTAGTAGCGTTTTTCTCAAGTTAGTGGAAAACATGGCTTACGTGAACCACGGTTCACATTTTATGTTCAGAAATAGAGCTTCGAATGTGTGGTCACCAATGTCCTTCAGAGTTAGGAGTGAACAATGTGCACGAATTTTATAAGTCTAGTTAGCTTAAATTCAAGAGTTATCAGTTGCAATTCAATACGGTATCAAAATATTAATCAGGATAATAGGTGTTTGGGGATTTTATGATATGTGGCAAGAAGCAATCTTCGATCTTGCAACTGGTCTCTCTACAAGGTTCCCTGAAACAGAGGTCTGCCTGCCAAACGCAGTAAATTGTGGACCACCTTACAGCATACGCTAACCAGTGTTATAATAATAATAATAATAATTTATTTTCATATAAACATAAATTTACATGAAAATGCATGCCATTTTTACAGGCACGATCAAGGATGATATAATGTCAAATCTTAAATTGTCTACAAGTTAATAATGTTTCAACAGTTTAATATTTGATACATATATATAATTACACTGATTGTCTGAACCAGGCCGTATAGTTATTGAATTGTACAGTTGTCCTCCAGGTTGAGCGGGAAAATCGACTTCGTTTCGTTTTCATCCCGTGGTTGTAGGCATACGATAACCAACCAATATTGAGGTAAGTACAACGTTTACAAGGAATTCGAAGCTGTTTTAGAAAAATTAAAGTGATAAGGTGAAACATTAAAGTGTAATAGATTAAGTGAGTGAAATATATCATTATTAAACACATTTATATAGAAAACAGAATGGGGAAGTAATTAATCCTCAGGCCGACAACGTTCATTTGCAATGTATAATGAAACCAATATATTTCATACTATCATGATGTCCACTTTTGGCTTTAATACAATTATTTTCAAGCCAGTTGTTTTTATTTCATGTCTTTTTTTCTATTTGGTGCACAACCGTACCCTCCAGAGAATAGGAATAGGATAAGTCGAATCAAATTCATAAAGAGCTATAAAATGTTAGGTTTAATGGAATATAATGAGAATCAAGTAAAGACGTTATTAGAAAATAAGTGAGACAAGATATTGTGAAGTGGTATTTAAAGATCCGGCAATGGACAGCAGGTTAATTTATAAGATGCCCCATAATAAATCTGTGCAGAGCTCACGTGGTCGCATCTCAACAATAGGCTGAGCGAATGGTATATATTTAAAGGTAGAAGCATTATCTGTCAAGGCGTTCACTATTATCTTTTTCAAGATAAAGATCTAAGCCCTCATAAAAATCAGAAATATCTCGAGCCTTTAATTTGTATATTGCTGTTCCTGCAGAATGGTGCGATTCACCTTAGTGACCACCACCATATCTACTGATCAGCTAACGTAGTTCGGAATATCCATGAAATTCTCAGTAGGAATAGATGTTTTGGAGTGAAATAATAACTTTTTCTTTATTTATTAGCATATAGAAACAATTATCTCCTGAATCGCTTTATTCGTTTATTGGATGTTAGCTTTAAAGGTAATACATATATGCACAGATGTCGTCTAAATACTCTGGAAATTAATGTGCAACTATTGAATTAACGCGCACCCCATTAAGTAAACTGAGCAGGAAAACACGCGAAAGAAATTCTACTAAATGAACGCTTTGTTGTTCCCGCATAGTGAAACATAGATTGCAGTACCATGTATTATCGATAAAGTGTCGGCGTTCCTGCTAAGTAAACTCTTTAGAGGATGAGATTGTTGACGTTTATGGATTGCACGAAGTATACCAACACAACATCTAATACCCACAACTTCTGTAGTATTCATTTCACTTAGGCCAAAGGTAAAGCAAAACAACAGAATTGATCGTCTAAATTACAAACTATATTTCTGGACCAAATTAGAGTGGGAGATGATTGCTTAACTGGCTAAGGACCGTGCACGAACCAACGAACGCAAAACGACGGCGTGCCAAAAGGCATGGATGCTTTACCGTTAGCCTTCGGATAACGAGACGACTTAAACAGTGAGGATCAGCACCCAATGTTCGGTGAGGAATCCTGTAACTAATAATTCTGGGGAACTCCCTACCGCTACAAGTCCGTTTGAGTATTTAAATGTCGTAGCCAAACAAAGGGCGTAATATCGGGAAATAAATTTATGTGCAGACATCTAAACTCATCGTTGTACGTCTTTACACCCACTCCTGTCTTGCTCTTTTGACTACAGCTACTGCACTTACAGTTATTATTATTGCTATTAAATACACATATATGTGTATATATCAACTTCAAGTTTAATGAGTCATCTGTTTCTATACCCTCTTTATTTTTTCCTGTTATAGTCTGGAAAACCTACACTAGTTATATCTGTTATTATTACCTCTTTTCTTTTGTCGACGACACCGGAGAACCAACACGTCAAATAATCAACTCCACTCACAGCAGAAATACAGTCTTAACACACTGCATACTACAAACAACACATTAATCCTAGCACGGCTCCTTTTGGAATCAACCAATGCTGCGACAGCAGACTGGCTGAACGAACTACTTTAAAGTTTAGCGAAGGCCAGAAACCTCTACCTCGCAACCACGAAGCGGGTAAAAGAGATCAAATCGGTTTATACTAGTCGGTAAAAACAATATTGGATGTTAGATTGTTTAATTGCACCACCGATTGGCTCCGTTCGAAGAAGCGGTCTCTTGGAATAATCAGCATTGTGTAAATAAAAGTAAATTAGGCATTGTTAATGTGGAGCAATTCGTACTTTTTATGTGTAGCTGAATTATCAGATACAAGGATGAAGGGGCGGCTGGAGTCTATTATGATTTTTCACCTTAAAATACAAGTAGCTACAACGCATCTAGATGCGATGTAAGGTCGTAGGTTTTTGCAATGAATAAGTGATTGTAGTATTTATATACTTATTTCCGTTGAACAGGGTGTAAGCTTCTTCGCCGTCTCTCTGTTTCTCAGTCTAATTTAATGTAATCTGTCGTCTTAAGTCAACTTATGACCAGACTCTGTCGATCGACTTAATTTTAAAATGAAGTTATAAATAATTATATATAACTTAGCATGAAAAGTAATTACTTTATAGAGCTATATCAGTGAAACACGCTTAAGGAAATGGAGACTTAGCGAAAACGAAGAACGTTAAAGTCGTCACCATATCTAAACTTCCTCTTAGGTCACAGGATATTTCCCAGCTGGAAAATACGCATGTTTTTCTCCAAATACCACTGCCATAAGTGGTTCCCATTTTCATAATTCGTTCTATGCCTGGTAATAAGCTTCCTATCACCAACTAAGATGGTAAATGACCTACTTATTTTTGACTGTTTGTGGCTTATATGGGTCAGTTATTCGCAGTTGTGTCATTTACCAGGGTAACTGCTACATGTACATTGTATATATATATATGTTCAATGAAAATGAACTTCGATAAATAAAAGCTAAATATTAAAATTTATTTATGAGTTGTGTCGTTTTATTTAGGTTGACTCTCATATACCACGTAAGCCATGCTAAAATAATTATCTGTTCTTCCGTCAGGCCAAACGTATGCTGAGTTCTCATCGTTGCTTGTACTATATCACCAAAAAGTTTTAAAAAGTTGCCTTGAGTTAATGTCAGCTTTATTGAGTTTCGGTTTAACGGTATCTTAGACAGAGTTCAGTAAATGGAAGTAAACTCACTGTCTTGATTGTGAAATATATCTGGTTTCTTCAGTGTGTCTATTAATGTGTTCTCTGTATCGTGATTTGGCTCTAGAAATTCGTTTTGCATTATTCTTAATGATGCATCGCTATATGTTTTCTTTGAGTTGTACTTTGGCAATATTTGCTCACAGTGGCTTCGCTTTGTGTGTTCTTCCTGGTATGTTCCGAAACATATATTTACTCCTACCTGTTAACTATAAACTACCCTTCCGGGTTAATTTCACCAGATGAAAGGATTACTTAAGACTGGAATTATATTCTTAATAATGTGGTGGCTAGTTGCTAATGTTTATTGACCCTAATGTACTTCTATACCTAGGAAAATAAGGGCATTTTATAAGTTGAGGCTACTTACTTCAATTTACAATAATTTCTAAGTTTCTTTCAATTGACTATTTATTGTATTCACTGTGAGAGATCAAATAACAGCAGAATATGGATCACCTAGGTGTATTTGTATTTTTCATTGGCGAAGATGTCTTTCAACTGAAAGTTGCCTTTGAAGACCCGTTTAATACAAATACCACTCCTGGGGTTGATGATATTTATTCGAAGAAGAGGCTGGACTTCGGATATTGTGTCTCAATAAATGCCAACTGTGTGTTGGCCATATTAAAACCAATTGAAGTATAAAAAAACGTTTGATTTTTTATTTCTGACTTCCCGATGGTGATTATGATTGAAATGCCTGCAATAACCTATTCTGTAACAAAAGGAGTGTTTCATCGGCCTTGTGACTTTCTAGATGTGTGTGCAGTCACTACTTGGCGGCTGTCCACATCATGGAAGTTGATTTTTCCCGTGGAGTATGTGATACGGAGAGAGAATTAGTCCAGGCGAAAACTGCTTGAGGTTGGTCACACAAGGCCTTTTTCAATTATTTCGTCAAGTTGTGTCCCTTATTGTAGTAACTTACTGTTGACTATGGACCACCATAGGGTAAGTCAGAATGTACAGCTTCTGGGGAAGACCTTTTCTAACCCCACCTCTCCAGAGTAAAGAGACGGCATAACTGGCATGCTGGTTATCAGTGGGAAACACTTAAGTGCTGTTACATTCCTGTTCCCCAGCAGTATGACTTTGCCAACAGACCCCAAACATAGTGTAAACATCTCACACTATAGGGGTAACCGCTTTAAGTCTAATCGCTATCCTAAAAACCTTTTTGGTATTGTAGGAGCTGCAGAAACATGAATTCCATCCAATGTAACTTGTTGGATCATTAGGAAATGCAAACCCGACCACTACGTCAAGGTAACATCTATCATTTGGGGCTTCGTAACTTACTAATATAAAATCTTAGCCTCAACTTTATGCAAGGAATCTGTAAAACCACCGTTGTGACACCATTATACCTACTCAATTTGTGGACAGTATTACCCTTCAAAACATCATGAATGCATTGCCATTATATTCCTCTTCTTGTAGAAGAAAATTCTAGATTTTTTTGGACTTGTCGAGAATAGTAACTAAATATTTATGGTGGATCATATGCCCCGATTACATCTCTGACCAATAAATCATGTGTGAAACTGCTAAAACGCTAAAAGATTTTATGAAATCATAATAACCGTATGCATTAAAATCACATACTTGTATGATTAAGATCATAACGCTTCGCGAAGACCAGGTGATTAAGCCTTATCACTTTACGAAATGATATTTTAAGGACCACTGATTATTATTCATAGATATTTAAAAGTGAAGGAATAGCTTATGTAGGGATGAGACACTCGCTGTTTAAATTGTCTTAAATTTATCCCATAAAGGTAGATAAAAATAAGATAGGAGTTAATATACGTCTCGACACTCAGCCATCACTAAAAGCAAATGAATACTCTTCGTGTGAAGAATTAGTTTCACTAGTGTGTTTTAATAGATTTTAAAAGTTTTGAACAGATTCTAATTCTCTATGCATTACAAATTATCGCATAGTTGTTTTTTATTGACCATCATCATACGCGAATACAGCTACAGCGATATCTCTATTCACTGGCAGTTAGGTTTATAGATCAACACTGTTTTCATACAATAATTTAGTTGACAAAACAAACTGAGAAACGTTCAAATAAACATTGGATTTCTTATTTTGTTTATGTATAACTATGAGTTGTGTTGCATTCCCTTGAAATCTCTTGAGAATAAGTATAAAAAGCAGGAATACATACGCGGATTCATTCTGATTAAAGTAAAATGTGAGTCCTAAATAATAAGTTTATGGGCGATGGATTTCGTATATCTACCTGTAGTATGGCGATTAACTCATTGCTATACTATAAGAGCCCGAATAGCTTAGCAATAACGTCTCTTACTGCAGGACTGGATAACGCAGGTTCAAATCCCGTAGGGGACATGAGTTTCTTCAAGATTGAAGATAAACCCAACAAGCACGAAATATCGGTCCAGGTTGGGGCTTCCTACTGATTTCTTCTAACCACCTAATAACCTCATTTTAGCGTCGCGGTAGAATGCTCGCCGACCACGCCTCATGCGGTTCAGGGTTCGATCCTCGGCCAATGCATTCCTTTACCCTACTAAGCCACTAATAAGACTGGTAAAGAGGGAAGGTTGGTCATGAGGCTAGCAACCCCATCCTGTGAAAAAAATATCAACGTTACCGAAACTTCAAGCCTCCAGATTGAAGCCCTATGTTCTACAGGGGACGTAAAGAGAATTAAAAAAATAGAGCTGACAAATAGACTCACACCCCATGAACCTTTTAGAGATTGTCATTTTCGTGTATTGCGGAAATGTTATCGAAAATCCAGTGGTCTGTTATAAGAAAGACTTAGGTTTATGTTGATAGAAATGACTAATCCGGAACATATTTTTCATGTATCAGGTCATCAGCCGAATTTATTGTGTGTATGTGTGCGTAGGGGGGGGTCTTGTGATCCAGACTGAAGTGGGATAGAGCGGGATAATTTTTTTATTCCTTTAATTTCCAAGTGGAACATAGGGCTTCGAGCTAGTGGCTTGAAGTTTCGGTAGCAGTGGTGTTTATTCATTTTTACAGGATGGGGTTGCTAGTCTCATACCCAACCTTCCCTCCTTGCCAGTCTTACTACTGGTTTGGTGAGGTAAAGGAGGGTGTCGGCCGGGGATCGAACCCCGAACCACGTGAAGCGTGGTTGGCGAGTATTCTACCGCTGTACCACCGACGTCACGGGTGGGATAATAAATGATAGCAAATAAAGTACACCAGTTGACTACTTTATATTTCCGGTATATGTTAACCTACCAATATTTTTGCTTTAAAAGACTCATTAAAGAACAAAGAATATTCTTTTCAATAACCTCTTAAGTGGTATACATTGAAGACCAAATCAATGATCGAAGGCGCCCTATGTTCCACTGGGAGCGTAAAGGAATAAAATTAATTAAATTATACTATGTACTTCAAAATCTTTTACTGTACTGTATGATAATGTCGAATGAAGTAGAATTAGATCAGAAGACTGCATGGCACTAGTGCTTGTATTGGTAGTATTATTGTAAATAGTGGGCGCTGAAGCAGTAAGATTTCCTGTAAATTTTTGTGTCCTCATTTTATTTTATGATCTCAATGAGGTCTGCTTGCTTTATGTCTTCCGGTACTGTTTTCCTTCTTTTTTATTATTGTTTCTGCTTCACTTCTAGTTCACCACCTCCGTGTGGTCGATATTAATAGTCTAGGCTCTTTCTAGTTAGTTAGTACTCAGTATATTGAAATATATTTTCTATGCGTCATACTGTAGATCAAACTTATTGTTTCTTGGTGAAAAGTGCTGATGATATTACCCAGGCACTTTGGCTAGGTCTTGAATCCGAGCCCGCGCCGACGCACACCTGATATCTATGGTCGGTCTGCAAAATTTGGGCTACCGATATCCATGCTGAAAATTCCATATCTGTACCAAAAATACAGTGTGGAATCAAGCTGTAAATAAAAAAATTCATTAGTTGAAGGTAAAGCACTCAAGTTATTGAGCCACATGTACGCTTAGACTATCCCACTTCTTTTTGAGTTCTTACTCTGATATTTATATCTCCGTATAATTATATTCAGCATAGTGAAGATTCTCAATGAGATATTGAGAAAAAAGAGGAAGTTTGAGCAAAGAATATTCCCTTTGATAACTTCCTTGTTTGACTCTACATTATTTATAGGCATAGTATTTAAAAAGTAACCTGTGTCCACAACAATAATGTTTTTTTTGAATAATACTGAGTTTTTAAGAGGAATGGAATTACAGTTCAAAAAAGGGCAAAAACTTTAGTTCCTTGGTGATAAAATCGGTGAAAAAAAACATCACAAAGCTTAAGACACGCATTAAAAAGTGCAGTAAATACTGCAGCACTCCACTGTCTCTTCACAACCGCTTCTACATTCTGGAGTTAAGGATAAACTACTTAATTTTGCCCCGGCTTTGTGTATCTATCAATCTGACTGCTCCTGTGGAACCAATTACATAAGGCGTACAATTAGGCATGTTTATCGTCGGATTTTCGAACATCATTCTCTGTGGTGAAGCAATGGACAGACAAAGTTTATTCTTAACTCTGTGTCAGCTCGCCACTATACATATTGAACATAAAAATGATGTTAACAAGGCTTTTACATTTGTTTGTCGTATTCCAATTAACTTCAATTTCGGCTTACAAGTTCATCTTTTATATACAAAGCTTAGGCGCTGTCAAAATCCCCCTTAAAAAGTTTTACTTATGTGTTCAGAAGAAATTTGTTCTGACGCTCTCCCTACCTTTGCCATCATTGTTTTAAATGCCTTTAACTGTCGCGTAAATTTTCTTAATTTTAATTTTTTTAGTTTTGATTAATTTTAATTTTGATCATAGCTTGATTCCACATCGTATTTTTGGTACAAGTATGAAATTTTCAGCATGTGATATCGGTAGCCCAAATTTTGCAGGCCGATCATTGATATCAGGTGTATGTCAACAGGGGATTGAACCCCGGACCGTGTGCATTGTCCGCGAGAGTCCTGTGTCACTAACGCAGTTGATATGGTTATGAATCATAAACTGTATTCGAAACGCTACCCAGTGAATAATACTAACCTACTGTGTAATATATCCAATAAATGAAATGATATGGAATTACACAAAAGTGTCTAGTGAAAAACTTCTTAATTCTATCTGGTATTCAACTTACTGTTATTTTACATATATAACCGTAAAGCCTGACAAGGAAGTCATCAAAAATAATATTCTTTGTTGAAACGTTCTTTTGCCTCCTAAATGTATTCTTTTTGGAAATATCACCATCATCTCTTGTTGAAATAAGTTACGTGGAACAAATCTTTCAGGCTGAATTGGGTCTAATGGGATTACAAACCTGAACTGATTGACTTTCTACAAGTCAGATGATTAAGCCAAGAATTAACTTCTCTCCATATATGAGATGAGCATGTGCTTCAATCTTTGTTTTGGTAGAGTGTAGTTTCAGTGTGAAGGCATATTTTTTTTAAACTTACCAAAGTGGCACTTACAATTAAATGATCCGTTTTTCATTAGTCTTTATTTCTTAAGATAACAGATCAGATTGATGAATAACCATCTGTCAAAACGAATGACTCATCATCCATTAGAAAGAATCAGTTTTAAAAGAAGAGAAGTTAATGGCTTAGCAACATAATACTTTTATTCATAATGAAACATAATTTTTGACTAATGCTCAAGTTTGACATCATTAAAAAACCTTAACGTCTAACTGTAGTATAGTATAGAAATCTCGATATTGTTTTAAGCTTTCTTACTTTTCTATAATCATCATCTTATGGTTATGACAGACAATTGCTTTCACTACACCTACCTTGTGTGGCTTAATTAATCATTATTGGCGTTAGAAACAATATGCTTAATCTTATCTTCCTGATCAGATCTTAATATTGTTTTAAATGCCAGACATATTTGTCTTAACTCTCTTTGTTTTCGTGCGGAGAAACAATTGTGAAGCATCAAGTTTCACAATTTTTGTTGTTGTTATTGTTGTCGTTGAATTTCATAATGATTAATCATTCATTCATTCATTGACGAAACTGATAAGGCGACCGTATTACACATTTTATGACCTCTGACCTGTAATTGTAAAGCCTCCCACCCTCCTACGCCGTCACCACCATCATCATGATTTTCTCATCCCTTCTCTCCCTCCCCTCACGTTTCATTTTTCTTTACTTATCTCTAGTTGTGTTTACTTTCATACAAATCTAGGATAAATTACATTGGTCAGAAAATACTTCTATATTTGGTGTAAAATGAAGTATATATAAGGCGAAGGTAAATATCCCTCTGGTTAAGCTTCCTTTAAACAATTTCCTAAGGTAAGCTCTTTATTTATGTATTTTTTTTGCGTTTGTTTTGTAAGGACATTATTTTGTCATGAGTTGACATTGTCAGTTAGAGAACCACTAAGAGAATTAAGGAGGAGGAGCACTGTACTTCCGTCTGGAGTCTCTTCAACAGTGTTCATTGACAATTCTACTAGGATTTGAACCCAGGAGTTTTAGGCTACGAAGCTAGTCCACTGATTTGGAATTCCACTACCCCTTGAATTCTAAATTCGATCATTTGCTGATATAGTTCTGCTGACAACTTATAATTTCTTAGCGTGAAATGATGACAAGGGAAGAGATGTTAAGGTGTGAGTTGTAAACGACAATTTTGATCAGTGTTATAATGTAGTGTCGACTTAACGACAGGCTTTGAATGGGGGGGGGTGGAGTGTGTCGTAACTGTCGGACGAGGTAAATATTTTAGATACTTACTTATTTATAAGACACTCCAGCCATCTATTTTGTTGTTTGAAATACACCAGGCTAAATAAAATGCGTTGTTGTAACTGATTTGTCGAACTTTGAAAGCACCTAGATGTGTGGTACTCGCTACTTAGATATTGTATTATTTATAATTGCGTACGATAAAAAGTTTTTGTATTTGTGTTAAATAAGTGACGGTTGATTATTACTAAATATTTTCAATAGTTTGTAGGGGTTTGATTTGATTCAAGTTTGTCTATGGGTTGATATCGGTTAGAGAACCACTGCAAACCAGTAGGGAGTACTGGGTAGTTGTTTCGTCCTGCTTTGGGACTCGTTGTAAGTACACATCTACCGTCAAGGTTCGAACCTGTGGCCTTTAGGTCACAAGACTAGCTTGTAGACAGACCATTCAGTCACTAGGACGTGACTGAACGCCCGATGAATTCTGACTTATATCAATTCATGATTTTAGCTGGACTGGCACCAGACAAAGTTATCGGTGAGTACTTGTCTTCACTTCCGACCAACTGTAGTCCACTGGTCATGAATTCTTATCCCAAATTAGGATGAACCAGCTGTCAAGTACTCCACCCACTGGTTTTCAATCGTTCTGTAGCTGACACCTATCCGCGGTCAAAGTACTATGAAAAGAACTAGGTCAAACAAATGAAGAAATTTGTATATGGTTCATGGAAAAAGTATGCGTTTCGGTTAGTCAAATTCTCATTCCTTAAATATCCTCAATAATATCTTAGTAGCGTTTGTAATTTCAAACTGTTTATGGACAATATGAGAACTATATTCTAGCTGGCTCAGTGTATAAGCTTCTAAGAAAAATGATATGATATAGAGAATATTCAAATTTTAATTTGGTACCATTTACTTTCAAGTATTGGTTTTGTAGGGATTTGGTTAATTGGTTACGGGATTTCATCATGAGCTGACATTAGTTAGAGAACCATTGGAAAACCGATTGGGAGTACTGGACAGCTGTTTCGTCCTAATTTGGACTATTTGGCAGTACGCACCCACCGACAGGGTTCGAACCCGGGACCTTCTGATTACAAGGCTAGCGAGCTTGTAGACCATTAAGCCACTGGGACCCGATCCAATGACCAGCTCATGAATTCTAACTTCTGCCAATTCACGATATAGCACAGCCGCTAGCCAATGTCTGCGTACTACTGAAGAGTCCCAAACTAGGGCGAAACAGCTGTCCAGTACTCCCAGGTTTTCCAATGGTTCTCTAACCAATATCATTTATTTGTTTAACGGCTAATAGTGAAATCATGTATAACCAATTTCTATGGGTAATCAGCTTCCGGTCGTTAATGTATTATTACCTTAGCTTTTGAACTGAAATCTACTCTCATACACCCATCCCACTTCCGCCCATCGTCAACTAAAAACCAGGAATTTCAACCAGTATATTAAAAATCCCCATAATGTAATCAGAGCAAAATGGTTTTGAGCGAACAACTGATTTCGCTAACTTCTTCCTCAGGCTCTACAGTTATAAATCCCCATGAATATTAGAATACACAAATAACCAGTAAAGGCAAATGGAATGAAACATCAGAAACTGTAGTATTGGGGTGTGTTTATGAGATGGAGTGATAGTTTGTTAGTTAATATTGTCCATTGAATGTATACAGAAATGTACATGGTCTACTACTTTAAGGTCACCAGGATCATAATCATCATCTCATACTATGCCTATCTTATTCCTTTTCACCTGGTTTACTTCATTTCATTATTTATTATCCATATTATATTTCAACTTTTTGTATAATTCCATTGTGGGTAAAATTTATTTTGATAAAGTCTCACTGGTGTGCTTTACAGTAATATTTACTGATGATAATGTTCCGAGCACAATTTATCATTGCTACTCATAATCATATCCAGGCACTCATCACACAACTTTCTAACTTCGTTTATATAATTCCATTATTCTCCATCGCTTGATTTGATTGGTATGAATGGCGAGTCATGTGTTGGGTGTAGATTCTATGAACAAAGATTCGGTAATCAACCTCACATTCTATCTATCTATAGTACTTTTTAGAATTTCATCTGTGTGTGTGATTGTACGTTAATGCAGACAGTGAGATTGCTGAGCTTTTTTCTAAATTACTCATCTGTCTTCATAGGGTCAATCATTCTAACCGTAGCTAAATTCTTATAAGCAGGGGACATCTGAGACCCTACGTACTATTCTTAATAAAGCAGGAATTCGGGTCGTATTCAAACCCTCCTACAAACTCACTCAGAGACAAGCTGTGTAGGTCAAAGGACCCTGTTGACCCAATTAGACAAAATAATATAATTTACAAAATACCTTGTAATGACTATGAGTTAGGTCAACTACATAGGTCAGGACATAAGAATTTAGCTAAGGTTAGTATGATTGATCCTGAGAAGATTTTGAAAATCACTCGGCTATAACATTGCATGCATTAACACGCAATGACACAATAGGGTGGGAGAGGGTTAAAATTCTAAAAAGTAATCTAGGTAGGTGGAGAATAAGAGAGATTGATTACTGAATCCTAGTTCATCGGGTCTACACCAAACACGTGCAATAGGAATGGCTCACCAATCATACCGGAAATATGGAAAATACTAGTACCAATCAAATGAAGAGATGGAGAATAATGGAATTATATAAACGAAGTTAGAAAGTTGTATTAGTGAATACCTTGATATGATTATGAGCAGTAATAAATTGTGCTCGAAACGTCATCATCAGTAAATATTACTGTAAAGCATACAGTGAGACTTTATCAAAATAAATTTTACCCATAATGGAATTATACTCAGTACACAGTACACAAGTTTTATTCTTATATGTCAACCTTTTGTAATTTACACGAAGCTTACCATGTATGTGTCTAGTATTTTGTTATCATTCAAAGTGTAACCTCTTCATTTTATTACCACACCCGATTGACAGCTGTTAGCCGTTGAAATTAAATTCAGTGTTCCCCCTTTTGTTGGTATTTGTATGTATTTTGTGGCAATCATATTTCTCTCACGCCAATGAGCATAACGGACTACCTCCTCCCACTCAAACTTGTATTCATTATTATGTCACGTATTTGTCTATTGACATTTTATCTTATTTTCTGAATGACTGCACACTTTATATACATTCAGTTGATGACAATATTAACTAACGAGCTATCATTCCATCTCAAACATACACCCCAACAATACAGTTTCTGGTATTTCATTTCATTTACCATTACTGGTTATTTCTGTATTCTGATATTCATGGGGATTTGTAACTGTAGGGCTTGAGAGAGAAATTATTGAAAAGAGAAATTAACAAGTTTTTTTTAAAGTGATTACATCATAGGTCATGTGTTTATCTGTTTTGGTTGGTTGGAGGATTTCATCATGAGCTGACATCGGGTAGTGAACCATTGAGAAACCAACAGAGAGTACTGGAATAGTTGTTTTGTCCTAATTTGGACTATTTGGCAGTACATATCCACCGCCATGGTTCGAACTTATCAGCTTCTGGTAACTGATGTCAGCTCATGATGAAATTCTCCAACCAATCAAACAAACAAAATTCCGTACAAAAATCAATACTTGAGAATATCTCTTTACTGTTCGTCGATTAGTTTTCATTGAAGAAGAGTTATTACAAGCGGGGGGGGATTATAACAATGCTGGTAATATGTAAAAATTGATGATTAGGCTTTTTTTTTATTTACATCTCAACGGTGTATTTTAAATCCCAAAATTTATGTAAACAAAGATTTAGATCATTGTACGTGAATATCCTTAGATTTTGTAATTTCTAATGTGATCTTGTAATGTCATTCGAACATACTTTTTCAAGGCAGATATCTAATAAAGGAGGCGGGGGGTGATTCCATTTTTATATAGTCTCTTTACATCTTTTAATTAATATGTATCATCTTTTATAACGTAATCAATATCTCTTATATCAGTTATTATTATTATTATTATTGTTCCCTTGGGTTCCGAGTGAAAAATTGTGTTTAAGCAGCACATATCCATACTGTCCTATTCACTGCAATCCTCTGTAGTTTGTGCCACGACTACCTATAAGCCTTCATCACATCGTCACACGATCTGCTCCTTGTCATCCGTGAACACTCAACTCATCGTTTCCCAGTCGAGGACCAGCTTGACATGCGATGTCATCCAACAGTCTCCTCAGAGCGTGTGTCCGATCTCTCTGTATATTCTGGAGCGAAGGGGGGCAGGTGTTGGTGAAATCCTACACATGAACCTGTTAGAAATGCTTTTCGTGATGTGTTTGCCAAGTTTCTTACTCACTGACACATGCAGAAGTGACTACCTTAGCATTCGTTTTGAAAATCCTAATTCTGCTTGTTTATGCTGAAAGCAGAAGCTTTCCAAACTGATTTCAGAGTGATGAAGGTGTCTATCTTTCCTTTCCGATTCTGACCAGCTTTGGCGTCCTCATGCGTGCTGTCGCCTGTAGTTAGTTGAAATGACGATTCCCAGATGAGTGATAATTATTGGTGCTTGCTGTTGTAATTGGCGCCAAATATACCAGAGGAAATGGGGGTGGACTGCATGCATATTGAGGACACCGTTGAGTGACATCACGCTTAAGGCCGTGGACTGTAACCTCATTTAGCAAACGATGAGTTAAGCGTGCGTCCTAGGGTGACATGGAGGAGACCGTGTGAAGGCGAGATGAGAGTCAGTGGGTAATCGTGGAGTCAACTGAAAAGGCTGAAATGGTGAAGTGCTGATGAAGCCGTATGTTCCACTTGGAATCTAAGGGAATAATAATTATTATTATCATAATTATGTATTTAGAGAAAACCTTATAGTTCTCACAGATTGGAATATATGTATTGTAAAATATTTGATTGAATGGAGGATTCCATCATGAGCTGACATCAGTTAGAGAACCATTGGGAGTACTCCCAAGTTCTTACTGGTGTTAGCTGATGATGAAATCCTCCATTCAGTTAAACAAACCAAAAATATCGTAATATGGTCTGGAGGCAGAAATATTTTAAATGACACCTTGAGGGATAAGGTTTATCGTCTCCAGTGGTTGCTGAGACTTAAATACCTGTCTACCTACGGTGACACTAGTATCACAAACGCGTCTACACATCAATGTGTGTTTCATTTCAAAGCGTCTGTTAATCAGCACTGTTATTTCATGTCATGTGACTTATCTATTGATTCTAGTGAGTAGTGTTCATTATTTCTTTTATTAGATTCCTTTGCAGTCATTGTCATCCTGACGAAGTAACAGTAGCAGAAGAGGTAGTAGCGCAGGTTCCAATTCGAAAATATGTCTCAACATGTGTTAAATGTGTTACAGAATTTGGTGAGTTATATTGAATCTGTTTTTAGTTTCCTGTTTATGTTGTGCCATATTATTAGATTGTGGAGGTGGTGGTGGTGGTGGTGGTGTGATACAGACAAAGTGTTCCAACAACGGAATATGGTTCTCACATATTCCCACAGTTCAATTCGACATTAGCAACAGAATACGATACATCTATTTGATGTTAGAGACAGAATCCTTTTTCCACGGTTATATACTGCATTGATAACAGAATACTATGTATAATTGAATATTCTGTTTCATGTCCTTCTAGGTGAGGACGCTGACAAAATACAGAGTCTTCTGAACAGCTTGAGCTGCAATCTACGAACGGTTGGCGTGCGATTTGCTCCCGCCAAATGTAAGAGTATGTTACAGGACTGGACTACACTGACTCACTCCTAGCTTAGAAATAGGAAGTGAAGTGGCTGAGCACGTTGACCGCTTCACTTATTTGGGAAGTACCATCAGCCAGTGCCAACGGGTTGATCTCTGACGAAATCTCAGCACGGATACAGAGGGCTAGTTTTGTATATGCCAGTTTACGCCGACTCTGGCATAGACGTGATATCCGTCTGGCTGTCGACCAAAGGGCGGGTGTACTGCTCATCAGTCCGCTCCGTCCTCCTTTATGCCTGGCTGTGAGACGTGGCCATTGAGAGTGGAAGACATGAAAAGGCCGACTAACTGCCTTTGATCATAGGTGCCTGTTCTCTATCTCCCGTGTGAAGTGGTATAATAAGGTGAGCAATATTGAAGTTAGGCATCGGTCGAGTTCTAGGTAAGGAGGGGAAATCAATCGACGAGGCTCTGAAATTACATCGACTGAGATCGCTAGGACATGTGTTACGTATGCCTAGTCATCGCCTTCCTCGACCGATGGGCAATGTTAGCTGATATAGGGTGAGGCTGGAAAAGAGCTAGCGGCGGTCAAACCAAAACATGGCACCAGTCAATTAAATCTACAACAGTTTGTTTAAGCCAACTACATAGGAAGGTGTAGACTTCCTGACTGGTTTGGGTCCTCGGGACGGTAAAAACCAGTGGTTGGAAACAATTGGTGATATGGCTCAAAATCGTTCTCAATGGCTTGTGCAGATGCACCCACACCTTGTGACTTATGATTTCCAATGAAACTATATTGTTCTTCGTTATCACTATTCCTTTTGCCTTATATCTCTGTTTACTGTCTCTATTATGCATTTCTTCTACTTTCTTGTGTTGCTTGTGTGCTGCATGGAGGGAGTGTGGCGACTCGAACTGCTGCACATCTGTGCAGAGTCCTACGTTGAACCCAGCCAGCCAGCCAGCCATGTCGTGTGATGTAAAGCGAAATCACACGCTCAGTGACTGCTTAAAGAATATGAACTATATATATATACATATATATATTGATATGTATCCACATATATATATTTATGTGTGTGTGTATGTTGGTCTCTCTTTCTGTTTGCTCGCCTAGTCTGTGACCACTTCACTTGTATGAACTTGTCTCCTTTAATAATGTGTATTCTCCTTATATTATATTATATATAATATGAGTGTTTGTTGACAGTCCGTTGCTTAGTGACATATATCCATATATGGTTGTTTGACATGTCTGCTATATATATTTTGTTATATATATATTTCGTTCACACATTCTGTGTGAACTACTTTACTTTACTTACTTATCACTTTGGTGTGAGACCATTTATTTTCGTCTCCTTGTTTTTGGACAATAGAAGTATCATCGCAAACCTACTGGTCTTCTGATTTCCGCCTTCTCGCGTCAGGACTATTAGTTTCTCGACCAGACCATAACAATAATTTAGCGACGAGTACATAACAATATATATATATATATATGAACAGCGGTTCGATTAATGAAAAATATACCTTGGTTTCCGTGTCTTGCCTTCTGTTGTTACAAGATAAGTTTATTTGAAATAATGCACAGCGATGTAGTATTGTAACGACAGAAGACAAGGGCCAGGCGACAAACAGATCGTTTACTGAGAAAACCAACAGATATTTATAGATTTTTATGTGTATTATTATTAGTGGTATTGTTAGCGGAGAAGCAACCTCTTCTGATTGGTTGTCTTCCTGCTGAAGGTTATTCTGTCATCTCTTTGTTGCCGTTTCTTAGATAGTCTGGTGTGATATATCTGCGAATCGAATCAGCCCACGCTAGGTCTGCTGTGATTAGTTGTTGAGTTCCTTAAGGTTAAGCTGTGATCGTGTTTTTTCTCATGGCTCCGATTCGGGACGTAAACATTGACGTCAATTGTTGTCTACAATTTTGTCTTGCAGACAGCTCTCACCACAGTATTAACAACCGGATAACACTTCGAGGAAAACTTATTACTGCTCATTATCATATCGATTTGTAACAGCAGAAGACACGACATGGAAGCCAAGGTATCTTTTCAAGTGATCAAACTGCCATATAATATATGTATATATATATTCTTTAACCAATCACTGATCATATGCTTTTGGTTAACATCAATACGACATGAAATAGAATGTTCAAATACATATATTAATATGTTGCTAATGGAGTATAGAACTGCGGGAATATGTGAGAACCATATTCCCCTGGCACACATTGTCTGTGTGACACCACTACAAATTTAGTCACACGTCAATAAACTCACATGACTATTACAAATAGAAGCAAGCCTCATGTAGAATTCCCAATGAGGTTGGAATTAGGGTGACGTTTAAACTGACGAACTATCTCCGCTCGACAGATCCGATTAAGAAAAATAACATAATTTACTAAATACCATGTTGTATTGTCTGTGAGGTCAATTACATAGGTCAAACTGAGTAGTTCGGGGTCAATAAGATGATCGAAACATAGGAATCTGTTTAGATCTAGAATGATTGATCGTACTAAGTCAAATAACCTAGAAAAAAGCTCGGTCACTGTATTGTATTCACTTACATGTAATCACATTGTAGGGTGGAACACAGGGTGAAAGTATTAAAAAGTAATATAGTTAGGTGAAGAGGCAGGCAGATAAATCACTGGATCTCTGTTTTTCGATTCAACACTGCACATGTGAAATCGAAGAGATGTGGAAAGTGACAACAAACAACATGGGGAAGAGAGAAAGAGATAAAATATATATATAAGACAAATTATAAAGCCGTGTAACCAAAGTGATATGATTATGATTGGCAATAATTTATCCTTCAAACGTCGTCATCCATCTGTTAAGATACCGCATCATCACTGTGTTTTGTGCATCGGTGGTTCAGTGGTAGAGGGCTGGTTAGCGACCATGCACGTGGTCTGGGGGTCGAGTCCCGACCGGCGCATACCTTTGTCTCCGGTAGCCGGTTACAACCTGGACAAAGAGATAAGGTTGGGCTTGAGGCTAGCAACCCCACCCCGTAAAAATAAACACCACTGCCAGTGAAACTTCAAGGTTAAATCTTGAAGCCCTATGTTCCAGTGGGAACGTAAAGGAATAAAAAAAATCAGTGTGTTATATAAAACAAACTAATCTAATATGGAATTGTAATCTATCGCAGTGCCCAAATAGCTACTCCTACATTGTTGTTTATGCTGCTTTGTTTACTCATGGCATTACTTTTTCGATTGAAATTTTGCAGGTATGAACTTGTGTTGTGTGTGTGTTTGCGTGTCTGCGTTCGTGTGTTTTGGCATAAAACTACTCAGTTGATGAATAAATTATTCAAGTATTCGTTTTGTAGGAATTTGATTAATTGGTTACAGGAGATTTCAGCATGAGCTGACTTCGGTTAGAGAACCATTGGAAAACCAACAGGGAGTACTGCCAGACAGCTGTTTCGCCAGCCTAGTTTCGGACTTGGGGATCTAATGGGAAGTTGTGACCAGTAGCGTGCAACAGGACGAGTGTGCGGACAAGTACTCGCCGAAGAAATTGGTTAGTGGTCGCGCTATGTCGTGAATCGGCCAGCAGAAGTTGGAATTCATGGACTGAACGCCATTGGATCAGTTCCCAGTGGCTTTATAATAATTTTGCCTTTATTCTAGAAACAGTACTTGTGGTACAGTGTGGAATTTTCAGCACATATCTACAATATTGCATCTAATTTCATCGTACATTTAAAAGGAGTATTACAAGAAAAATAAATATTAAAAAAAAACAACAAAAAACCAAAGTGAGGAAACACAAGAATAACAAAAAAATGCAAATAAAAATACCAAGTAGAAAGGAAGATAAACACCAATAATGAAAAATATTTCAGTATATGGTAGTGAAAGCTATGATACGTGTATGCGTGGTGAACAGTAACAGCTATGATCATACAAGAAATTATTGAGATGTTCTTAAGAATGTTTATAGCCAAGATGATCAGTTAATTTGATTGAGCAACACTAAATAATCATAAAATAAACATTTCAGGGTTTTTATTTTTGTTGTCAGCTCTAATCCAGTGTTTGTAGTGGTAGTGTGAGTAATCCTGCATAATATAAAATTTTTTAAGATGGTGATAGTGGCGTTCACAAACAAGATTGTCAGTTAATTAGTGCCGAACAAAGAACAACCACAAAACTAATATTACATGATGGTTAATGACAGGACAATTTAGTAATAATCATAGTGATAATATAGTTGGACCCAGTAGATATACAAAAGAAGGAATAGAATAAAAATGTAAGCCAATGATAATAATTTTAAGTAGCTAAGTATGTTTAAGAAGGTTGTTCACTATAGAGTACAAATAAGAGAGTGTAAGGGGGAAATAACAAGGGCCAGAATTATGTTATTAACAACAAAGCAAGTCATAGGTTTCACGCTTAACATTGTCTCTGTCACTTAGAACACAGGCCAAATATGGCATCGTTGAGTTCCTATACTTGGTTGTACGAGCATATATTATTTTGTACTGATTTCTGGTTCCACCTGATGAGATGCAAGGAGAGAGTTGGGAATAGAGAGGGTGTTAGGGTTGGAGAGTATGGTTTTAGACCATTTTTCGCATGTATTCAGACGCTTTTGCACTAATGTAGTGACGAGCTGACTGAGTTTTACACCACTAGTCCTACTAACTACCTTCAACATCCTTCTCAGGATGGTATAGTGTACGAGCTCGATAGCCTTGTAACCAGAAAGTCCTGAGTTCGAACCCTGTCGGTGGGTGCGTGCTGATGAAGAGTCCCAAACTACGGCGATATGAACAGCTGTCGAGTACTCCCTGTTGGTTTTCCAATGGTTCTGTAAGTGATGTCAGCTCATGATGAAATCTACTGTAACAAATAAACTACTCACCTCTTTTCCTTTTTATTTGTACACAGCTTACTTGTTTACGGTCGTATTGTTCAATTCGATATGTGATTCGATTTCTACCGAATGGTTCATTAGCTCCAAGATTAGATATTTATAATAATAATAAGATTCTATTTGGAAAACCTACTCTGCATTACAATGCAGATGATGATTGTGATTGTTCACTCACAGATTCAAATGTGGTAAGTATACAAGCTCTTTATATTAATTAGTCTTGTATGCGCTGTGATAAAGTTATTTTTGTGATTAGATACTAGCTCGTGGTTACTAATGTCATGCATGTCTACTCCTTGGTGTTGGTGCCGATTGAATTCTTTCATAGAGAATAATAAAAAGACTGTGGCAGTGAAAAGAGAAACTTCTCCTTCCGACGAAGTCATCAACTAGACAGCTGTACATTAATATAATGTGTAAAACTTGGGCACTGTGGTAGTAAGTAATTCCATATTAGTTTGTTTATTAGATATATCACTCAGTGAAACAGTAGTATTATTTACTGGATGACAAGGTTTCGAACACAATTTATTACTGTTCATAATCATATCATCAATTGTAATCACACGACTTTGAAACTTGAATTTTATAGTTTTATTTGCCTTCGCTTATTTGTCGTCGTAGGCGTGGTAGTAGAATTTTCTAGATATCAGCGACAGGTGATGAATCATTCCTATTTCTTTTGTATACAAAGCGTGGGTTTGAGCTTTTGTATAGCTAGCACCTCGGCTACGCCCAGATGCCTTGATTTTACTCCCTTTGATTGGTTTGATCGAATCTTGTACATGATTTTGAAGGATTTTTCGAGTGGCACATCCGGTTAATTCAGGACATTCAGCGCCACTCGAAAAAAATCCTTCAAAATCATGTACAAGATTCATTTCTATTACATGTATTTGCAGTTGATTCGATAAACAAGGCTTCTGTTATCAATCTCTCCCTATACTCTGTGACCTTAGATTTTAAAACTGTCATCTTATCCAATCCATCCTATTGTATGGTTGTGTGTAACTGCATGTAGTGCTCTATATATATAATAATAACAATAATAATAATGATAACACTAATAATGATAACAATAATAGTGATGATAAGAATAATAAAACTGATGACGACACCAACAATAAGGAATCTAAATCATCAACAGTAATTCCATACAAGGAAGGAACCTCGGAAACCTTACGCCGAATTCTTAACAAGGCAGAAATAAAAGTGGCTGGCATTCAAACTGCTCACAAACTCAATTACAAATAAGCTTTGTCGGTTAAAGGATCAATCTTGTGGAGCCTTTAAAACAAAACAATTTAGTGTATCTAATACCCTGCCTGCAATGATTGTCAGGTCAAATACATAGGTCAAACTAGTAGAACAGGGGCAGTCAGTCAGACTAACCGAACATAACAACCAAACAAAATCTAGATTTGTTGACCCAAATAAGATAAGAAATCTAGAGAATAGTTCAGCTATAGCACTACATGCAGTTACACACAACCATACAATAGGATGGATAGGATAAGATGACAGTTTTAAAATCTAATGTAACAAGGGGGTGTAAGGAGAGATTGATAACAACAGAAGCCTTGTTTATCGAATCAACTGCAAATCAACACGTGTAATAGGAATGATTCATCACCTGTCCCTGATATCTAGAAAATTCTACTACCACGCCTACGACGACAAATAAGAGAAGGCAAATAAAACTATAAAACTCAAGTTTCAAAGTCGTGTGATTACAACTGATGATATGATTATGAACAGTAATAAATTGTGTTCGAAACCTTGTCATCCAGTAAATAATACTACTGTTTCACTGAATGATATATCTAATAAACAAACTAATATAGATAGCTGTACATTCGTGTATTTATATGAAATGGATGGGAAAGTTCCAGAATAATTTCCAGTCAAGGATCAAATTAATAAAATTACAATTAGGAATTAAATTGCCATAACAAACAGGCGTGGCGGATAAAACTCGAACAAAGTAGCGTCATAATTATCCTTGACGGACACCACTAGTCGTCACCAGTTGAGATGACAGCTCGCCGTAAGCCCTCACCTGGCTGTATGAGTACGAGTAGAGTGCCTTAATCAGTGCAATGTATTTTCTTGGAATTCCCTTTACAGCCAAGCATCTCCAGAGAACTTCCCGATCGACAGAGTCGAATGCAGCCTTTAGGTCAAGAAATATAATGATTGTTGGACGCCGGTAGGAATGACTATGTTCTAGAATCTGTCGGAGGGTGAAGATATGATCAATACACCCTCTTCCTGGTCTAAAGCCTGCCTGGCTTTCTCGTGTTTGTGCTTCCCGAGCACCACTCAGTCTACGCATGATTATTGAGCCTAAGACTTTAGATACTATATTAGTCAAGCTAATCCCTCTGTGATTATCACGCGAAGACTTGTCTCCCTTCTTGTATATGGGGATAATCAGTGACTTACACCAACCGGATGGGACTTCCTCTGATTCCCAGACGCTGCCTAGTACCTCAGTTAATGCAGGCAGTAAACTGTCTCCACCGTACTTAAATACCTCTGGAGTGATTCCATCAGGTCCCGCTGCTTTGCCTAGTTTCAGATTGGAGACAGCTTTAGTAACCTCAGTTAGTGACGGAGGACCTGTGTTTATATCCCATTCAGGGAGGTGTTGGATGTTCGGAAGGTTGAGCGTGGTTGTGGGCAAATTAAACTGCTCCTCATAGTGCTCTTTCCAGCGATCCAGTCGTCTATCCTGGGAGCTAATTATAGTGCCATTTTTTTCCGAGATTGTCTCACTGATGATTTGTCTTCTCCCACCCGTTTCCTGTGGCCACCATACCACTAGGTGGTGGCGGCTCGCCATCATGGTTCACTCTGAATTGTTGTAACTAATAATAGATGGTTGGAGGCAATCAGGAGGAAGCCCTGACCAATCTAGGTTTCGTGATTGTTTGCACTCACCAGACACCAAGGCGTATCTGTTGTAATCGTGAAGGGACTCATATCCAAACTTAAATTTAAATCCGGGTTACCCAGTGCTGCCACAGTGAGAGATGTTACCACTGGGCTATTCAGGTTGGCGATCGATCTGCTCCTGTAGGGTGGTAATTGGGGTACTTTGATTGGACACTAGATAGTAACTAATGTCATGTATGTCTAGTCATTGGTGTTGGTGCCGACTGCCCTTAAACCATCCAATAAGGAAATTAGAATCCGGACACCAAGCTGCACCCCAAACAAACTTCAAAGTCGTCTACAGAGTAAGAAGTAGTCTTCCAAAAGGTGTACGAATCAGACTTCTTCAAACTGCAGAAGCAATGGCGATTCACTTGCTAAGCCCTGAACTCTGCATACAGAAGAGGTTCGTTCAATCACTAAACTTACAATGGACTTAACCTACATTATTACCTGAAAGGTAAATTCTACCTAATTTTTTTTTTCTGTCTCTTCATTGGTATTATTCTGTCTTCTCAATTGTAATATTTTGCATTTTCAACTTTCTTGTCTCTACCCCTACCCGATTTAATTTCTACACCTCACTACCACTTTAATTGACCTGACCAACGCTCAATTTATAGTCATTTATGTTACGTCATCCAACTTAATTGCTCAATTTCATTTCTAATCTAAATGGCATTATTATCTACCCCACTTCTACTTAGTCTCTACCTGTAATTACCTCTGTTGCTAACCTGACCTAAGTTAAAACATTTTAGTCAATTGTATTACGTCATCTAACTTACTAACTCAATCTTAATTTAGTTGCTGTCCAATTAACTTTGTTTCTATATTAGATCATTCTTTTATTACCTGATCAATTATCTAATTTTGACAAACCTCATGTACACACACACACTCAAATAATTATATATAAATGCGATTGTACAGCTATGTGAATGAATTCGCCGAAAAGAGTCTCTTCGCTGAACGTCTTCTCTTTTTCAAGGAAATTATTCACTGTATTCGACACACGCGAACCAGTAGTTTGAATAAGTGGTCATAATTGAGCTGACAAAATCATGAAAAATCAATATTTGTGTAGGGGTGAGTGAGTATATAGGAAGATGTTTTAGATAACACCTATCGCGTGTATTATACGATTGAGTCAAGCGTTATTGTTTATTTATGACACACACTTTACTTCTCTCCTCCTCGGCATATCCGGCTAGAATCCAGTATCCCCATGTATTTCAGCATTTTACGACCTAGTGCTACCATCATTCAGTATTATCCTACAGTCAATGGTGAATTTATTCCCTTCCCTCAAATTCTCGTTGAAATTTTTCGGCAAATCTGTTTCGAATATGAATCATTTTTAAAAATTCCGTTTTAAGCTTATATGTGCAACTTTGTCAATGAATAATTGTGATTGTCTTAAGGAACCACGCCCGAGCCTTTGACTTTGACGTCTACTCCACAAAACACTGTGGAACAGCATCAGGAACTCTCTTCCCCTGGTTTACAGTGTCCACTAGAAGCTCATACGTCCTGTGATCCATTTAGATTCTGCAGCCCGTGTACACGACATATGTTTTGGAATCAGAGCTTTCTAACTCCTCTAAGCGCAAACATCTGTACTCATTCATGTGGCAGGTGGAATCGCTGGACTTCTGTGCAAATTCCTGTGTTGGAATTCAATCAAATCATTCAGTTATTGTCTGATTACCACTGAGGAGCTATTCGGGCTGGCGACTGACCTCCTGTAGGAGACTGTAGTGGATATTTTGATTGGGCACTAGTAACTAGTGTGACGTGTCTAGTACTTTGTTTGGTGCAGACTGAATTCTATCAGTCAGTCAGGTTTACAATGTGGCCACCATGTCACTAGATAGCTCGCCATCACGGTGCACATTGATTTGATGATATTAGACGGTTGGAGACAATCGGCCACAGGAAGCCTTGGACCTAGGAACTGGGTGATGCGGTTTCGAATCTCAGAAGGGGCATGAGTTCCTTCAAGGTAGTTGCAGATACGCCTTGTTGACTGGTGAGTGCCAACTAGCACGAAACCTAGGTGAGGCAAGGCTTCCTGCCGATTGCCTCCAACTGTCTAATATTATTTATTTGAACAATGCAAGAACTACAGTTTTAGCAGTTTTACCATGACTGCTTGCGGTCACACTGCTTTCCTCGTCATCTATTTAAGTCAGTACGTTCTTGCAAATTACTCCCATCTCTCAAGAACCTCCGGCGCATTACAAAATCA